TCTCAATATATGTATTTGGTCAAATAATGACTATAGCTGGAAAGGAAACAACTCACGAAATATTAAAAAAAGATCAAGAATTTAGTCGTGAAGATGCCATTGAAATGGTAAATGAACAATCCTTAGCGAATACAATAATTCTTCGGATATCCGGATATTATTATCATCATAAATTCTAAATAATTCAATTTAAAAACAGCAAGTACCACAACGTCGCATATTTAGTAATATAAATCTTGAGAAACATACCAAAATAGTAAGCGAATATCTCACAGGAAAATCAAAATATATTCTGGGCAAGATACCAAAAGACATTATTAAGGCCATAGATCTTTATATTGGTGAATGTGTTGGTAAGATTTTAAGATTTTAACTTAAAGTTTCTCGCGAGAGACTTAAAATGAATTCATTTATTATTAGAACCAAAGGTTATTCATGATCCAAGTAAAACTTTAGCAAATATTATTGCAATTTCGGTTGCTGATATTATTGCCGGTGAAGTATGTATGGTTATTGTGAAAAAATTTCTTTTTTCATTAATTTAATTATTTCTCATAATAAAAAAATTAGGAATGTTGCAATTATGAGGATATATTGGAAACTTTTAAAAGCTTATCAAAATCAATTTTTAAAATTTTTTATATACCACCATTACTATCTTTTATACATCCCTGGTTACATCAACAATTTGTCACGTAAAGTTTATTTCATTTCACCTTTACCGATACTTTTTTTGTTAAAAAAAAACTTCAAAATTGATTTACTTTATCATTGCTAACAGAATACCTTTAAGGTTTGGTTGGAATCCGCTTTCAACCCATAAAAAAGTACTTATCAGTCGCATTAAACCAATTATCGAAAAACGTCTTTACGATAAAAAGAGATTAGGAGATGCTTGGGTTGCTCCGGTAAGCTATTTATAAAACATATATATAATCATTATAAAATATTTAACTACTTTTCAATTTAAAAAATAGGTAGATGGATTACAATGTTTCTTAGATGCCCCCGGAATAAATCCTGATCTCAATCCAAATAATGTAAATTATGATTTTATTGTTGATGCAATTAGCTGTTTTATTTTTGTTGCTATGGGAGCTACGGTCAAAGTTGTCACCCCTGTTTTATATGGTTAGTTATGTTCTGTTTTTATTACTTTTAGTTCTATTTTACTTATAAATATATTTTTTATTTGAATATTAGATTTGGCAAAAAGGAAACAATATTGGCACGAATTATATCAGGAAGCTCAGGAAATTAATAAGCAGTGTAATGGGAACGAACTTACATCTGATGATATTGCTAAGATGGTGAAGTTGGATAGTTTTGTTAAAGAATCTTTAAGATTATCAGCTAATCTTACACTTGGATTTGCACGCTTATGTATTTCTAAATCTTATTATACGTTTGCAAATGGATATCAAATCCCAAATGGTAATTTTTTTTCTTGATTGTTATTTTCAACTTTCAAATCGTACAATTATTATGCATGTTCCTAATTACTTAAAATTATTATAGGTCGT